AGAAAAAAGCATAACACTACACTAACGATTGCCATATTGGCTCTGATACCATGTGAACAAGTATTGTTGTATTTCATATACTTGATGATAAAAAACTATACAAGAAGCTATATTTATAGCTATATTTAGAGTACTAGGGTTTCCTAGGGTTTCCTATACAAATGGGCTAAGCCCAATACTACTAGGGTTTCCACAGATTTCAAAGTAGATTAGACTGCAGTTATTAGTAGATAAGTATTGCTGTTGTATAGATCCTATTTTTTAGGATCTGCATAGGGAGTTTGTTTACTGTACTCTGTATATATATTCAGGCCGTATGGCTCAATATATTCAAGGAAGATTAATTCCTAAAACCTACATGGTATCAGAGCTTCGGTTTGCACATCACGATGGTAGAAACCACAGATTCTGATTCATCCCACATTACCAACCCTAACTCCCAAATTAGCCCGATGACAAATTACCAATCTCCTATTCATTCATCTATGCTAATTACCAGCCATAGATTGAATGGGAAAAACTATTTGGAGTGGTCTCAATCTGTCAAGCTCGCAATTGATGGGAGGGGAAAACTGGGATACCTCACAGGAGAAATCAAACCAAAAATTCCTGGAGAGGAAGGCTACACCACATGGAAGTCAGAAAACTCACTTATCACAGCCTGGCTCCTTAGCTCCATGGAGGCCTCAATTGCAAAGCCTCATATGTTTATGAAGACAGCAAAGGAGGTCTGGGACTCCATAAAAGAGACTTACTCAGATCTTGAAAATTCTTCTCAAATTTTTGAGTTAAAAACCATTCTCTGGCAGTCCAAACAAGGAAATAGAGATGTCATCTCTTACTACAATGAGATGGTATCTCTATGGCAAGAGTTGGATCAATGCTATGATGATGAAGAATGGGAAAGTGCCAAAGATCTGGCAAGACACAAAAAAAGAGAGGAAAATGATAGGGTCTACATGTTCCTAGCAGGAATTAATAGGGATCTGGATGAAGTGAAGGGAAGAATCCTTGGAAAGAAACCTCTACCCTCAATCAGAGAAGTATTTTCTGAGATAAGGATGGAGGACAATAGGAAGAAGGTTATGTACAATACTCCAGTACATAACAATGATGAGCCAGGGGAGTCCTCAGCAATGATTGCCAAAGGAAATGAGAAGAAGAAGCCCTGGTGTGATCATTGCAAGAAACTGTGGCACACCAGGGAGACATGTTGGAAGATTCATGGAAAACCACCAGGGTCAGGACAGAAAAAATTTGACAAAGCCCTACACACTACCATGCCTGAAACTGGACAGGAACAACCAGACACTTCCAAGCAGCCCTTCTTCACAAGGGAACAGATAGAGCAACTCCTACAGCTTCTAAATACCAAAAAGAGCCCTAACCAGGAAAACCCTTCATGTTCTTTTGCCCAAAATGGTAAAATAACATCATATTTCTGTTCTAAAAAACCAAAAAATACCTGGGTCATTGACTCAGGTGCAACAGACCATATGACCTCTATTTCAAAATTCTACTCCCCATATAACCCTTGTGCAGGGGATAAAAAAGTGAAAGTTGCAGATGGCTCTTTTTCAGCCATTGCAGGGATGGGAAATGTCAGGATTTCCTCATCTATTAACCTCTCTAAAGTCCTACATGTGCCAAACCTTTCCTGTAATCTTGCCTCTGTTAGCAAATTAACCAAAGAACTTCAGTGTTGTGTCAAATTTTATCCCTCTTATTGCATTTTTCAGGATCTGGCATCGGGGAAGATGATTGGCAGTGCTAGAGAGGAAGATGGACTTTATATCTTTGATGAAGGAACTAAATTGAATAAACAAGGTCAAGAAAATGTTTGTTTGCAAACTGTTTCTCTTTTTTGTAATAATGAAGTGTATTTAATGCACTACAGACTAGGTCACCCTAGTTTCTACTATTTAAAAAAGTTGTTTCATCAGTTGTTTCATAATAAAAATCCTTCATCATTCCATTGCGATATGTGTGCACTTGCAAAACATCATAAGAGTTCTTATATCCCTCACAGTTACAAACCTACTAGTCTTTTTACTCTTGTGCATAGTGATATTTGGGGTGCATCTAGAGTTTCTACCTTGAAAGGACAAAGATGGTTTGTAACTATTATAGATGATCATACACGAGTAACATGGGTTTTTCTGATTAAAGAGAAATCTGAAGTTGAAAGTGTGTTCAGAAAATTTTACTCAATGGTTCAAACTCAATTCAATACTAATATCAAAATGGTAAGAAGTGATAATGGCCGAGAGTATTTTTCCCAGAATTTGAACAATTTTTTTACTGAAAAAGGTATTATTCATCAAAGTTCTTGCATAAACACACCTGCTCAAAATGGAATAGCTGAGAGGAAAAATAGGCATTTACTTGAAGTCACTCGTGCAATCATGTTTTCAACAAAAGTTCCAAAATATTTATGGGGAGATGCTGTTTTACATGCCACTTATTTAATTAATAGGATGCCATCAAAAACTCTAGGATTTAAAACTCCTATTGATACACTTCAGAACTGTTTTCCTAGAACCAGAATTATCAGTTCTCTTCCTTTAAAAATTTTTGGTTGCACAGTGTTTATTCACAACCCTGACAAAACTGCAAGTAAACTTGATCCTAGGGGTAAAAAATGTGTTTTTTTAGGACTGTCTCCAACACAGAAAGGATATAAATGTTTTGATCCTACAACAAAAAAGATGTTTGTAACTATGAACACTAGTTTTGTTGAGAATCAGCCCTTTTTTAGTACTCATCTTCAGGGGGGAAATTCAAGTGAAGATGGTAACAGTGTATTGCATATCCATGAAAATCTTGAATTTCTTGACATTAATCTAGATGCACATCATACTAAAGACTTAGATGCATCAGAAAATGGTCAAGAAATAGAAGAAAATGAAATAAATATAACTGAAACAAGGAAAGAAAATGAACTGCAGACAAGTAAATTTTTTGGCAAGGTTTATGAAAGGAGAGTTCCAAATCAAAGAATAGAGGACATCTCTGATCCTGCAACTGCTCATGAATCTGACTCATTGACAGAAAATGGAAAAGGTAATAATTTCAGTAATCTTGATTTACCAATTGCTCTCAGAAAGGAGAAAAGGTCATGTGTCAAATATCCTATTTCAAACCATGTTTCCTATTCTAGATTATCCTCTACATTTGCAACCTTTTCTTCTATTGTCTCTTCTATTTCTATCCCATCAACCATACAGGAAGCTCTATCTAAACCCGAGTGGAAGAAAGCTGTTTTGGAAGAGATGGATGCTCTTGAAAAGAATCAGACATGGAAGATTGTAGAGCTACCTAAAAACAAGCCAACAGTTGGATGTAGATGGATTTTCACTCCTAAGTTCAAGGCAGATGGCACTCTTGAGAGGTATAAGGCAAGATTAGTTACCAAAGGTTATACACAAACCTTTGGCATAGACTATACTGAGACCTTTGCACCGGTTGCAAAGTTGAATACTATCAGAATTCTTCTATCTCTTGCTGCTAATTTAGACTGGCCTCTTCAACAGTTGGATGTGAAGAATGCTTTTTTAAATGGGAAACTTGAAGAAGAAGTTTACATGAATCCTCCTCCTGGATTTGAAAGCAGGTTTGGTTCAAGAATATGTAAGCTAGAGAAATCATTGTATGGACTCAAACAGTCCCCAAGGGCTTGGTTTGATAGGTTCACACAGTTTGTTAAAAAACAAGGATATAAACAAGCTCAAGCTGATCATACTTTATTTATAAAATGCTCAAGTAAGGGGGAGATTGCTATATTAATTGTCTATGTAGATGATATTATCATTACAGGAGATTTTTATAGAGAAACACAAAGCCTGAAGGATAAACTTGCTTCTGAATTTGAGGTCAAAGATCTTGGAGAGTTGAAATACTTTCTTGGCATGGAGATTGCCAGATCAAAAGAGGGAATTGTTGTATCCCAAAGGAAGTATGTTCTGGATCTTCTTCAAGAAACAGGGATGAGTGCATGCAAACCAGCTGACACTCCTATTGACCCTAATCAGAAGTTGGGAGATTTCAAAGAGGGAGTTCCAGTCAATACTCAACAATATCAAAGATTGGTGGGAAGATTGATATACTTGGCCCATACCAGGCCAGACATTGCATTTGCAGTTAGTTTGGTTAGCCAGATTATGCACAATCCAGTCCAAGAACATCTTGATGCAACCTACAGGATTCTGAGGTATCTGAAAAGTTGTCCAGGGAAAGGATTATTTTTTAAAAAGGGCAACAGTAGAACTGTTGAGGCCTTTACAGATGCAGACTATGCTGGCTCAATTAATGATAGAAGATCTACTTCTGGATATTGCACCTATGTGTGGGGAAATCTGGTGACTTGGAGAAGTAAGAAACAGAATGTAGTTGCTAGAAGTAGTGCAGAATCTGAATACAGGTCTATGGCTAATGGAATTTGTGAACTGCTTTGGATCAAGAGAGTGCTTTCAGAATTAAATATGCAGATGGATCTACCTATGAAGTTGTATTGTGATAACAAGGCAGCCATTAGTATTGCTCATAATCCTGTGCTACATGATCGTACTAAACATATTGAAGTGGACAGACATTTTATCAAGGAAAAGATTGAAGCTGGAATTGTGTGCATCCCATTCATACCTACTAAAGAACAAACAGCTGATATCTTCACAAAGGGATTGTTCAGACCAGTGTTTGAACTACTTATAAGCAAGTTGGGAATGTATGATATATATTCACCAACTTGAGGGGGAGTGTAGAAAATGTTACATTTAATTGTTATTATTAGATGGTGTACGTGTGTAGCTGTAGATAAGATTTCAAAGTAGATTAGACTGCAGTTATTAGTAGATAAGTATTGCTGTTGTATAGATCCTATTTTTTAGGATCTGCATAAGGAGTTTGTTTACTGTACTCTGTATATATATTCAGGCCGTATGGCTCAATATATTCAAGGAAGATTAATTCCTAAAACCTACAAGAATCCATTCCATGCATACCATCACAAAGGCTTTCCAAATTAACGGATGCATTTCCCATGCGCTTATGTGGAGTCACAAGGTTACCATCCCAAGCTGCAAGCTAAAATGAGGTTCCATATGACCAAACATACAGTGAGTCTGAGTTCAGTCATACACAGAAGAGCATGGATCAATACTTTCCCATTAAATACCTACTAGTAAATACACTGCGACAATTAACGTAAAGATGATATTACCTACAGAAGCATAGATATACCAGGAATTTAACAAATAACAACAGCTGGTATTCTTTTTTTCAATATATGTTGGATATAGCATAATAAAGCATAACGAAAAAAAATAACTCTCAAAGAGAAAAAGACATAATAGGCTGCATAATATTCATAAGCCACAAGAAATACATCATTAAAAATGGCACATTATTGAATTCAGGGTGTTGCAAACTCAAAAAAGTACAAAGTGGTTCATTCATAACTTCTAGAGCAGCATTTCTTAATCGATGTATGCAATGTTGGCTCAAGTTAAAGATCAGCTAACACAATCTACTATCCTCCTGGTTCGGTTAGTCAAGACTAATTATCGAATAGATCACCCAAACAAAGCTTATAACTGAGTTTATAATAAAAATGTGTTTAGCCAATTCTCAATCAGTTACGATGAACTTAATGGATACATATTGAACTTAACTACTAAACGGGAACCTGAAGATCCTTAACCGGTGGTTGTTTGATATTTAGAGCAAACTCCTCATTCCAAGTTGGTTCTTTGGTCCTGTTCAAGTTTTTCTTGATAAAATTAGAAATTCTAGTATTGTTGGGGGCATTTTTAGATACAAATTTCAATTACTAGGATAAGAATATCAAGAAAAGATGAAGAGTTTTTCAGAATTATTTTCAGAACGGGATCTAATAAAAAATTTAAAAAACTAGATTGTGACGCACGTCATTAATCATTACTAGATCTCTTTTGAGTAAGTGTAGAAACTTACCCCCATTTGACCTTGCTTTTGGCAACAGCGCTATCCAACTGCATGATCACATATGGATCACTTGTCCCCTTTATAAAGTCCAAACAAAAGAAGTGGAGATGTGCTAAGTCAATGTTCAGAAAATTTACTAAAAGAATACTAGTATTGAATTTGAGTCGACGAAGACATAATATGAGGGCACGAAAGGCATCAAGTGTAAAACTTTGTCGCTGTGTTTCTTTGGCATGAACTTATATGCTACCAAACTTTAGACCATTTACCATTACTTGGACACAAATTTCATGCCACCGACCCCAACATATTCGTGTAATGATGATGAAGATGATGATGACAACGACGTAATATGAGGAAAATGGTCTAACAAAAAACAAGAGAACAAGCTCGCTTCAAATAGTGTCAAACTAAGTCATCATCATCATTACCCCGTACTAAAACACAGAGAGACCGTTTCCGGATGATCATGGTGAAAATGCGTTGAAAATTGCATGAACTGACTGCTGGTTCATAACAAAGAAGCGCAGACAGTTTACTGAGTCATTTTGTTTGATTCCATCATATTCTCATGCCAAAAAATTATGAGTCTTTGGCTCCATTGGAAATGATGGACAAAAATAGTGTCAAACTAAGTACTGATTTAAATTTCACTTAAATAGGAACCTTACCCATGGATCCATGGCAGGAAGATCAATACCTCTCTTCAGTTTTATGAGCAGCTGACCATCATAAATTTCACGTACAAATGACCTGAAAATTTGCATTCATTTGAAAGGAGGGATAAATTGTACCATTCACTTCAGTGTTGGAACTTGTAAGAATAACTTGGTTTGGAATGAGCTTCACTGCTCGAGCAGTATATAGGATATTCTTGGATAATTTTAAATATTTATGTAATTAAATAAACTTCTATAATACCACAAGTCGACAACAAGACTTATCATCAAAAACTTTGACAACTTAATGTTGGCAAATCAAAATGTGAAGCGGATAACATTGCAATACTCAATCTTGTAGTGTTTCATCATTTTCTCCTCTCATATTGACATGTGTACATGTATATAGCCCATTACTATCAATGCCATATCCTAGTATCAGTTCATAGTTTCTTACAAGTTACAAGCTCCCATATAATTTCTTATCAACCTTAGTTTTTCATAGAAAAAATAGAAACAATTCCAATAATGAAAATGTAACACTTGTCAGTGACTCAAGGCAGAAAGTAAAGCCTCTATAGTCACCTTTGCATATGCCAAGAAAAACAGTGAATATAGTTCTAACATGTCATCATTAAAACTCATCAAATCTAATAATAAAAAGCTCACTATCAAAAGAATTGAGCAAAGGCATGGCTTCCTACATGAGTTAACTGCTCAACAGGTAAGGACCACATACTCTGAAAGAAAAACAGTTTGGCAATTTGCCGCATCCACTTCATGCTTTCCTGCATTTTCCTAATCAGAATGACAATTTTATTATTATCATCATCATCATAACCTTAATCCTAATTTTGTTGGAATTGGTGGCATAAAAATTCATTCAAAAGAGATACGATATAGGAGGAAGGAACTACTGAATTATTCACAAAGCTTAACTTTTTTTAAGAAAGCCGTGTTCTAGCTACATTCGTATCCAAATAACGAATCGAACCACTTTGCTAAACTGAATAAAGTGAACTCACAATGACACCATGAATAACTAATTTATTTGGGTAGTGGAAACACAGAAAAAAAAGTTTAAAGTCCTTTCTTGATGTGCTTTCATTACTCCCAAAAATAGGGAAAGGGCCCCCAATCTAAAAAAACCTTCTTTAACACCAAATTTGTTGTTCCTCCTTTTTCTCTGAAACTAGAATATCAGAAAAATAAAAGAGAATAATTGGGATATGATACTTAACTGGAGGGCTAGTATACGCTTCAAATGCAAAACCAGCAAGAATGACAGCCAAATTGATATCGAACGGAGGCCTCTCGATCCCTCGATCCTCATCAACAGTTGGAAGGGAGTCATCCTTTGTATAAGCCCCTTTAACTTGTAAACTTGAATTCCTCCGGACCCCAACGGTTTTCCTGGGAAATAAGAGCTTCCCGTGAAAGGAAAGAGTTGATGGGTTTCTAAAATGCAGTAACCTTGGAGAAGAAGAGATGGTGAAGCTGAGATATTGGGAGTGGGTTTGCAGAGTGACCATGGATGGGTAGTGATAGCAACTGTGCAGGGGGGAAGTGAGTTGTTTTTGTGATTGAAGAGATCAGACAATTTGATAGTTTTGGCTCTGCCGCGCTGAAACGCACTTTCTATAGCATTGGAATATTGGATTTTGGTAGGTGGCTGTAGAAATGGAAAAAAAGGCGGTTAGTTTAGTTTACTGGAACATCAAATAAATACGAGTTTCTAATATCTACAATGTGAAATGGGTTGATCTTTTTTTTTTATAAAAAGAAATGGGTTGATTAGGCATTGAACTATCAAAGAGACTTCCACTTAGGTGTAAATCCCGTCAAGCGGTCAGGTCCGTTCCGAAACCGGGTCAGGTAGTGTGCGGAATCAAATCGGGCCCTTTTCGATCCCGGGTGAAGTTTGGATACCCGTCCGGATATATCCGTCACACCGTTCCGGTTTCAATATGTTGGGATTAAATTGGGCAGTCCTGATTCCGATTTTAGTCCGGCAATCAAATTCCATTTCTTTGTTCCAACTTTGTCCCGCTTTGGGGGCGCAAAGTAGTCGTTTGAACTTTGAACAACTAGTATATCCGGCCATCGGGAGGGGTTTGGGGGGTTTGTACAGTGCATCACTACTTCTTGCCCAAGTTTGCCCAAGTTCATGGTTAAACATAGTTTGAGTAATTCAAATTTGACTTGATCAAACTAAATCAAACTCAAGTACTCAAGCTATATATAAACTCAACAAAAAACTCGCAGATAACTCGATTGTAAGAAGCTGTTCTCTTCGCCTGATCTGAATGTTTCTGATCTGAATTTTTTAAGTTCTGATCTGATCTGATCTGAATTTTTCTGATCTGATCTGATCTGATCTGAATCTTTCTGATCTGATCTGATCTGATCTGAATCTTTCTGATCTGATCTGATCTGATCTGAATCTTCCTGATCTGATCTGAATGTTTCTGATCTGGTCTGATCTGATCTGAATGTTTCTGATCTGATCTGAATCCTTCTGATCTGATCTGAATCTTTCTGATCTGATCTGATTTGAATATTTCTATGATTATAATTATAATTATAATTATTATAATTGCAATTACAAATATAACTTAAATAAAATTATAATCGTAACTATAAAAATAATAATAATAATAATTAAAATTAAATTTAAAATGAAAAAATTTATACATATTACACTAATTATAAATATAGATATAATTATAATTGTAATTATATTTTTAATTATAATTACTTATATGATTCTAATTGTAATTATAATTACAATATTTATCTCTATAATTGTAACTATAGTTATCAATATTATTATAATTACTCCGTAAAATAATTACAATAGTAACAATAATAATAATATTATTAATAATTATAATAAAAATAATAATTATAATCATAAATTATAACTATAATATAATTATAAGTATATTTATAATTAATAATAATTATAATTATATTAACATTAATTATAATATTATAATATAATAATAGTAATATAAATACAATTAATATTATTATAACGATATTATTATATTAATATTATTATTACAATAACATAATAATAATAATAATAATAATAATATTATAATTAGTTTTATATTATTATAATATTATATTATAATTATTATCATAATTATAATTATGATTGTAATCATAATTATTATAATTATAATTAATTAAAATTATAATTATAATTAATTATAGATATAATTATAATAATTACAATTGATATACTTATAATTATAAGAATTATAATTGTAAGTATAATTATAATTACATATAATTATAATATGATATTATAATAATATTAATCATATTATTATTATTATATTGTAATAATAATAATAGTCTTCTTAATAATTGCATTTATATTACTATTATTATATTAAAATATTATAACTATATTAATATCTTATTTTTTATCATATTATTATTAATATTATTAATAATAATTATATAATAATAATCATAATAGTAATAACAATATTAATAATAATAATAATAATAATAATAATAATAATAATAATAATAATAATAATAATAATAATAATAATAATAATTAATATAATAATAAAAGTGATAAATCATGTTTGAACTTTTCTGATCTGATCTGATCTGATCTGAATGTTTCTGATCTGATCTGAATGTTTCTGATCTGGTCTGATCTGATCTGAATCTTTCTGATCTGATCTGAATCTTTCTTATCTGATCTGATCTGATCTGAATCTTTCTGATCTGATCTGATCTGATCTGAATTTTTCTGATCTGATCTGATCTGATCTGAATTTTTCTGATCTGATCTGATCTGATCTGAATAAAATAAGAATAAGTAATAAGTAATAAGAATAAGACGAACAGAACAGCACCTAAGTTAGTACGGAATATTTTTTTTTTATACATACAATGGCATTATATCATGCATGCATAGCATGGATTCATGAGTAATACTTACTCTTATATGATTTGTTGTTACAAATATATTAGAGATTCACATATCACTTGACCTTTTAGACAATGTTCTAAAGTGTTATGTGGACATTCACATATCTCGATCGATATTTAGCAGGTTTAAGATTTGAAGTAGGATTTGAACTTAGTTATCTCATATTTAAATAAGGGAAATTATCATTAATCCTCTTGATGTTTGATGTATTATCACTGACACCCTGCATTGTCGAAAATGACTTCTTACTACTCTATACGGAGTATCTTTTAATGATAGTTAAGTAACTTTTAATTTACATAATAAATTTGGGATGTGTCAAGTATGAAGATAGTATCTCATGACTAAGGTAAAAAGATGTGCTAACAAATACGGAGTATAAAATACTTCGTCTCATAATTAAAAAGAGCGCTTATGATTTACAGAACACAGAAACTGAACCACATACTTGTGCTCAATCATTTAAAAATAACTTACTTCATTAATCGATCAATCCATGGAATACTATTCCTTATTCCAGTTTTCTTATTACAAATATAACATACGGAATTAAAACAAAACAAACTTAACAAAAACTACATTTTAGAAAGATATCTCAAAATGTGTTCTTAACAAAATCACAATGATTTCACTTCTTTTGATCACCCATTCCAAGTGTATTCTTCACACCATCAATAGCTCCTTGTGCGGCGCTGAGCACTTGCTCACCAGTCTAAAAATATATAAAAGAATCATGTTAATAAAGGAAATACATACTCGGTATATCACTCTTAAGAAAAATTGAGGGACTATTTATAATTTTGCATCCATGAGTACACAAATTTGAAACATGAGGATGTACATTTTTAAAATTTTATCGATTCAGGATCTAAAAGTTAAAATGATTTATTCGGGATCTCAATGAATTAAGATTGAAAAGTATAAATCAAAACACTAAAATTTGGATTCAAACATTTTAGATTGGCTTGGCTCATTATAAGTGAGGTAATTAAATGTACCTGCTGAAGAAATCCAGTGTTGCCTTGTTCTTCCCTTCTCTGTTGAGCGGATTGTTGAGCGTTTTCAGTTGCATTTTCAGCTTTGTTAATTGCGGAATCTGCAGTGCTCTTTGCCGAATCCACAAATTGCTCAGTTTTGGCCTGCATTTTTCAATTTAATTACAATTTACAAACAATGTAACATTCATCAAATAAGGATTGACTTGCGGATTCGGAAAATAAGAGTAGCACAAAGTCTTATATGTAGTATAATAAATTATTATAATATGATTTCAGAATGACAATAAGATATCCATATTTATTGAAAAATATGCCATTTTTTTCTTATTTGAATTTTTTTACCTTTTATTTATTGTACACTACGGTGTAAAATGAAATTTGTTTTGTTCTCGCAGAACAACAAATGTTATAAGATATCTGTGTGTAAACAAAAAAAGAATTGTACATGTCAAATTTGTGTCGTTGATGTACGACAAATATTGTAATTAAACAATCCTAACAAGTACTTGTTTCCTTCCAAAATTGTTTAACTTTTACATTTCTTGAAATTTTAATTTTATAATCCATTAATTTTAAAACTGAGAATAATGACTTGAATTGGGACGATATATTTATTTATTTAAATGGAATAATAGCAATTTATTTATATACCTGAGTTCCACCACGTGACTGACCGGCATTGAACTGAGAGCTCGACATCTTGAATTGATTAATTACTTATTTGCTTCTTCTTTTCTTTGTTTTTGGAGATGTAAATAACACAACTGCTTTGGTGAAAAGTTAAGGGTGGTAGATGTTGCTTAAATAGAAGATGGTATTGGTCATGCGTGAATTGCTGTGTGAACACAATACGCAAAAGATGCTTGTCCACAAATGTGTCTCGCACGGGTTGAATTTGTCTCCGCCATTAACTAAGTTGTTAATTCTAATAACTTTTAATCCACAAGTATGCACGAATATCTCTGGTGATATTGAAATTAAAACGTTTTTTTAGGATTGAAATTAAAACGTTAGGTTAACAAATATTGTTATAGGATTATTACTAATAGGAGTGAAACATAGCCTTTTTTTCCAAAACAGGACCACTTAGTTTAAATATTCTTAAATACGACTTTTTATGTGTGATTGGACCAAAATACCCCTATTGCTGCCCTTGGACTGCTGCCAATTGCCTACCGCCGCCAACGGAGCTCTGGTGACCATCGCCGGAAAATTTTCCATATTTTTTTCTGGACTTTTCCTAGCATTTCTGCGCCGCCCGCCGGAGTTCGGCGTTGCCGCCGGAATCTGCTACCGCCGCCACCGGACTACCCCGCTACCAACGGACTGCCTTGGTTGTGCAAGAGAACTGAGGGGCAATTAATTGGGTTAATTAATTGCCGGAGTTCACCGCCACCGTTGCCGGAATCCGCCGCCGACCAGCTGCCGGAGTTCTGCCGCCACCATGAACTGCCCCGCCACCGACGGACTGCCTTGGTTGTGCAAGGAAACTAGGGGGGAAATTATTTAGATCAATTAATTAATTAATTAATTAATTAATTAGAATTAGGGATAAAAAAGATAAGGTTAGTCCTATTTAGGGAAAATATGCATGTGGTCCAATTTTGGGGAAAAAGTTGAGTTTTAGTCCTATGTTGGACAATTTTCTCATTATTATACTACCTCTGTCGCGAAAAGGTTCACTATATTGACTTTCCTTGGTTAATGATGACGAAC